AATTTTTATCGTATAGTGTCATTGCTGTCTACCTCCAGACTATTTCTGTCACGTCATATTTTACTTGATTTTCCTCAAAGCCACCATTCATCTGTAGCAAGGGCTTTAATTTTGTATATCTTGATGCATTTGTGCTTTTTAATGGCAATTCCAGCTGTAATAGTTTCAGTTTGTTACTCATCTGTAACTCATCTGAAAACAGTTGTTACAATTGAAATTTGCAAGGCCATTTAAACTATACTGGCATTTTTCCTACTTTTGATTTCCTAGTGATAAATTGTTTTCTCTCTTTTGATTAACCTAGAAAATCTTGTCATGTTAAGTTATACGACAGTTTTGAGGTGCACTATCTATGAAATATTTAATCAGTTTTATCTTTTGTTCAGTGTTTATTCTTCTTTGCCCATTTTCTTAATTTGTCATCTTGCTGTTTTGTAGATACACCTTGGTGAATCACTATTTGCTATGCACATATAGAAAAACCTTTAGTACACACAGGTCTCTTGAATAAAAGATTATAACAATTGTTTTGCTTTTCTGAATGCATGTCAGCTCGTTTTTCATCTGGCTCCAGGTTTTAATTTTGACCAAATGTATTTAATCTGAAGCCAGTTAAGATTATTTTCAGATTTATTGTTAACACAAATGTCTTATTCTGGATTATAAATCTTCCATCTTTCATAGACGTTTTCATTCTCAATAGGTAACAAAAATCAAGTTTAATCATATCAACATGAAACGAAAAGAATTGCTTGAACAGCACACAATATGACATTTCAAACTGTTTCCGCTGATTCCTAAATAAGATTAAATAAATTATGGACTATTCTGTTCCTACATTCTTTGTTGTTTACTTTCAATTTTGGCATTCTATGAAAATGAAAAATAATCATACTGCAAATAATATGTACTGTCATTAAACCAAACATGTATATCAACATACAAGCTAATCATTTCTTAAACAGTGAAAATAGGGGGGGAAGTACCTTATTTTTTGCTGAGTAGGTTGAATCCAGAGACAAATTTGCTGCCTTTGTATCTTGCTTTAAATTATGAATTGTCCATGTAGGCATTTGTTCATCTGTGACTCTAGTAGCAACTGCATTTTTTTATTTGAACTGTTAGATCCAAAATTCATTGAAGAGCTTCTCCCTCTAGCTTTACATAAATTGAATTAGAAAATCAACCTATATAATTTTAGATAGCACAGCAAAAATTTCCATGTGTGAGATGTCTTTTTATTCCAGCAGAGAAAGTATTGTGGCGTTCCTGTGTGTCTGCTTCATGCAAAAATGCAGTAGTAACCAGCTGCAGCTGACCCAGATTATGTGTATAGTACCCTTGACTAGTGTTTCCCGTTTCTTTCTCTCTTGCTCTCCCTGCTTAGAAGTTCAGCCCACATATTACATCACCAAGAAGTTGCTGGAGAGTACGGGAGGAAAAAAAAAACCAGCTCCTCCTTAGAATTTCCTTCCAATGGCCTCAAAAATAAAGAGTGTGGGGGGGGCAGGGGAGAGAGACAGTCGGAGGCCGAAAAAGCTATGAACAAGGGGAGATTGTGTGCAGGTTGAAGGAAGGGCACCATCTGGAAACAGACTGGAATAGTTCAGTGGGCAATTACAAAACAAACATTCTAGTCCTCCAGCTAAAGATGTCTTTTTAAGTCAAGCCTTGAAACAAATGTTCCAATACTCAACTCCATTTAGAAGAAAGATTCATTCAGACTGATAAGCTTGCCTTTTTTTTTAGCCAAGAATGAAGGTCAGACATTGACAGGCAACCCAGAAAGAATCAATGGTTTATGATATTTGCTTAATAGGTTGATAATCTAGCAGTTACTAAACTTATTAAAAACTTTAATGTTTTGTAACAGCAATGCATCTGCATAGTGTTGCTTACGATTAGATGATATTAGCTATCATAATCTACACATAAATGAAATTCTTTCAGAAACCTAATACTCTTGAATATGAACTTCATTGCTTGAGTGGAAAACTAATCTGTATACTTTAATTCCCCATATGAACTTTCTGCTTTAGTTTAGCCAGTCACATTATTAAGAGGCAATAGGGCCTCCATTTCTTTGTTGGTAGTATTAGGGCTTGGATAGTGAAAATGGAATGATCACTAAAAGGAAGCTGAGGTCTTGAGTCACTGGAAAAACAACTGCGATGGTCCCTGGCCCGGGGGGGGGGGGTGCCACTAATGAAACATACCCCCCTCGTCACTGCAGAGAAGCCTGGGGATTGCCAAAACAGGGTCACTGAATTCGTGGGGGTTTTTGTTTGCTTTTTACTTCACTTTTTCTTTGTTACAAGAAGAGAAGAGTGTCTCCAGAAATGACTGTTTGTTTTGTTTTGTTTTGTTTTTAAGGCACTTAGGATTAGGGTTAAGGTTAGGCAACAACAATATAATGGGTACCTTATTATATTTTTTTTTTAATTCTGCAGTTACTCATTAAAATCTGCAATCCCATCTCCCACACTTCCTGGATCTTTGTACCTTTTTCATGCCCTTTTCCCTACTCCTTTCTCTTACTAGCTTTGTGACTGTGGACAAATCACTTAACTTTGGGATTAATTTTCTCATGTAAAAAATGGGAATGATGACATTGTTTAACTTATAGGGTTTTAGTAGCAATAATAATAATAATAATAATAATAGCAAGCATTTATATAGTTCTTTAAGCTTTGTAGAGCACTTCACATGCATTATCTCATTTAATCCTCACAACAGTCCTATGAGGTAGTAGGTACTGTAAATTATCTCCATTTTACAGATGAGGAAACTAAGGCTGAGAGAGCTTAAATTACTTACCTAGTGTTATACAAATCTGAGGCAAGATTTGAACTCAGGTCTCCCTGACTCCATATCTAACACAGAGTAAATGGCATCTTGTCACTTAAATATCATCTTTCTGCTGATCCAAATAAGAATTGCAATCCAAATATACTTTTTTTTACTCAGACTCAACTCAGAGATGTATCCTGTACCTCTCATGCCTCTTTTTTCCACATATTTAATTCATACCTATCCTTCAGAGGTCAATTTAAACCACATGGAGTGTCTCATAACTGTTTGTTTCCCTTTTTATGAACACCTGTATAATACTGCCTATTCTATTCATTTTGGCCCTTAATCAGCAATTCAAATTCATTTGGCATTTGTGAAGTACGCAGTACTGAGTATAGAGAATGAAAATGTAAAAATTGTCCCTACCCTCAAGAAGGTTATTTTTTGGTTGTCTACCATGGAAATACAAAAATAAAGTACATTTCTTGCCCTCTAAGAGTGTATATTCTAATAGACATACTACCTTATACTATTACACTATTAACTCTTTGTGTCTGTTTATAGATATTGAACACCTTTTGGGTGAAATGAGTAAATCTAGATACTATTTTTTCTTATACAAAGAAATAAGGTTGATAATCCCTATCTCAAAGGCACTTAGAGTCTTGATAGACAATATAAATGTGTGGCAAATTAAATATCAATATAATAGTTAAATATCATTGTAAGGCAATGGGATAAAAAGCTCACATAAGGAATACCTTATCAGTCATGGAATAAATGGTGTAGAGTAGACACTGGAGTAAAATAAAGATGGCTTGAGGCTGAGGTAGTTAAAGCAAAAGTTCACAGAAATGAGACTTCAGCTAGACTTAGATCAGAATAGAGACTGGGATGTTCTACCTACCCAGAAAAACTGGCATGAGCTAAAGCTCAGGTGCAGGAAGCCAAGAAGGCTATTGTTCCACTTAGCCCCATTGAACAGAACTAAGTTGGTAAAGAGGCCGATTTAAACTTGGGCTTGACATAAGGAAAAACTTGATATCAAAAAATCAAATGTACTACACTAGTTGGTCTTGTCGGGCAGGAATAGGACTTAATCCTTTTCATCTGTGAAATTCTCTGAGTACATTAGTGCAATTGGATTGATTGGTATGGGAAATAGGTAGAGATAGTCCAGAAAGGCAAACCACCAACTTTGATATGCAGAGCAGGGACTGTCTTTTATGTTTCTTACAGAGCTCAGAGTAAGCAGTTAATAATGATAAATTAAGGTTATGAATACTATACATAAATTACGGTTCTGGTTTTGGTTGGTTTTGGTTATAGGCAGAGAATGGGCAAAGACTGGCTAATTTGTTCAACTTAACTGTTTCAAAAAGTGGTTTATTGATCTTTTAAATATCATAAATAACTACATGAACTTAGAGATTTAAAAGCAAATAACTGAGTTATAGTTTTAAAATTAAACCAATTATTGTTTTTAGGGTCAGTGCTGTATATGTACTTTCCTTTTCATTTTCTTTCTTCCAACTGTATGATACTTGTCCTTCAAGGTGACACCATTGCTATGTATGTGTGCCATCTCCAGTTGTCCTGATCTGCATTTGGCCACAGCACCCAGATGGCTCTGGAGGAGAAAGTGAGGCTGGTGACTTTGCATAGCCCTCCCTCATTCAAATCCAGTTTCAATTGCAAGCTTTGGCATCATCTTCCTAATGTCATGGTCCTCTTCAAGAATGAAGGACAAACAAACCACATACATTGCTATGTATATAGGGTATTATATGTGGGAGAAAGCAAAATTTAGTGGTCTAAATACTGTTGTGTTTATATTCTACTTTCATAGAGATATTAGTATGTCATTGAATGTTTTTCACTTGTATTGACAGCATAGTGTAAGATTTTAAATAACATCCAGATAAGGCTTTTGAAGTGTTTCCATACAGTGGACCCTCGCTGTTAATACCAGCTCCAGAAACCACATGGTATATTCAGTACGTCTAGTATCTAACCCTTCCAGAATTTCACCATGCTGTAGCATGTTCTATGATATACCAGTGCCAAAAGAGTATTAATGATGCTGTGCTCTAAATATGGAGAAGTTTGAAGAGCAAAACCATCTAATGTTTTTAAATTGTATTTTTTTTATTCTGTTTGTGATTATAAGTAAGGAAACTACTCATTGTAATCTTATTTTGTTTCAGGCATCTATCTGTCAGATCTGACTTATATTGATTCTGCATATCCATCAACTGGAAGCATTCTAGAAAATGAGCAGAGATCAAATTTAATGAATAACATCCTTCGAATAATCTCTGATTTACAGCAGTCTTGTGAATATGGTAGGTTTTTGGTTAGTTTTTGCATTATTGAAATTGATGGAATTATGGAACTTCTGACATTGTATAATGGCAGGATTTCTGCAAATGGAGTGCCCCCAGTGATTGATGTCTCTGCTCACTTTTTTTCAGTGACTTATATAAAGACATATATGGCATGCTTAACAAATTTTCAGATGAATTTTGAGCAGTTTATCTGAAAATTATTTAAAAGTTAATGAAACCCTGGACTGCATTAAGAGAAACATTGCTTTTAAGAATGAGGAGGTGCAGTAGCCCTGCTTTCCTCTACTTGAGTCAGATCTTTATCTGGAGTGTTGTTTTCAGATCTGAGTACCACATCTTAGAAAGAACATTAATAAGCTATAGATAGACTTGAAGAGACCAGCCAGAATTGTGAAGGACCTAGAGTCTGTGCCGTATGAGCATCAGTTGAATCAAATGAACACTCATCTCTTCCCCTTTTCCCTGGCCCCTCCCACCAAAAAAAAAAAAAAAAGGTAGGGGAATTTGATACTGTGTGAAAGGAAACATACTCTTCAATACCAGACAGTAGTACTAGGAACAGTGAATGGACACTGCAAACAACAAATTGATAGAACGAAAAACTTCCTAACAATTAAAAATGTCTAAAAATGAAACCGTTTTCTTCAATAAATAGTGGATTTTCCTTCATAGGTGGTTTTTAATCAAAGGTTGAATGACTATTTTTTTCCGGGGTAACTTTAACTCTTAGTGAGCATTCTTTTGAGGGTCACAGGTTTGACTCACTGGCCTCCAAGGGTCCTTTCCAACTTTAAAATTCGTTAAAATGCTGCTATTAACAAATAATACGTTATATAAATTTCTTCTTACTATATTCTGTCAACTAATGAAGATATAGTTGTTGCTTATTTGCTAGTTGATTCATTATTTAGACCAGGTGTTCTTCACTTGGGGTTCATAAACTTGTTTTTTAAAATATTTTGATGACTATATTTCAGTATAATTGGTGTCTTTTGTAATTATTTTATTTTGTGCATTTAAAAACAGAGGAACCCTTGATGTTTGCAAAACTGCTTCAACTCTTGGCTTTATATCCCTTAAAATTTCCTAGTGTTCATGGCATAACACTAAAAGATGTTAGAAGAGTTAACATTGACTTGTTTTGTTGAGTTAGTCCCAATCCTACCTAGTATGATACGTGAGCTAGTTGTTAAATACCTGTATCCCCCAATAAACATTCAGGTTATCCTCAAAGCAAAGATGAGACTTTTGTTTTTATGGTTCTGTGTCCTGCTTTCTCCTCTTACCCAATTTATTAGAATAGGAGAGCAGTCAAGTGGTTTTTAAAAGAGGAGTCTTAAGGGTATAAATAAATATGTTGAAGTATTTCAACTCTAGTGAAACAATATTGTCAAACTGTGAGCCAAAAGTTTTATGAGATTATTCCCTGTGACATGGAAAGAACATTACCACTAGATCACATTCCTTGTATTTTTATTTCATGACTTATTTTTAGTCATTTGACTAATTTTTCATAGAGTTACACTTTAATATTTTAGAAGATTTATGGTTATTTTAGGCTTCTTTTATTATCGGCAGTGGCCAAAATATTTTCTAGAACATACCTATCCCTAATTAATGAGAAAATAATATTATGTGTTTTTACCAAAGATTAATTTTAATTATACCAAATTATATTGGGATGTACCTATTCTGTTGAAAGAGGGATGTTTCTAACTTCACTTGGATTTTCTTTTTCATACTGATATGAAAATATGTAATTCAGAAGGTAGTGTGAAGCTTTTATAGAGGAAATTCACCCAGTACTTTGAAGGTTCATATTTTGTATGAAGAACTTTAAAATCATATGACAAATACACACTTGTAAAGATACATTGAGGGTTTTAGTTTTCTAAATATATGTGTCTTAATATATAATATAACATAATATATAATAAAACTTAAATACGGTTTAAATATTTTACACATATATACAGAATTCCCAAATGTTTCCTTTGAAATTTTAAGTATGAAGAACTTAGATAAATTAAATTGTTTTTCAAAACAAAGGCAAAAGATGGTCTTTAGTTACACAGAATTGTAGTTTTGTCCTGTATAAGCAATATTTCCTACTTAGACTTCTTGTTATATTTTGCTCCAGGTAAAATTTCCCTATGTTCTTTCAAGTACAACACCAGACAGCATTTGCTTCAAAATTTCCTATTTAGAGATAACATACATCTTAATTTAGTTTTAGATATGTTTCCAAGCTTATCTTTTAAAGGACTATTATAAAATAATTGGTAGTATCTCATTTTTTCCTAGATATTCCCATGTTGCCTCATGTCCAGAAATATCTGAACTCCGTTCAGTATATAGAAGAACTACAAAAATTTGTGGAAGATGATAATTACAAGTATGTTTGGTCTTCAAAAGCTTGCTATATATAGTTGTAACTTTTTCTTCATTTTTTTTGTAGCTTCAGAATAGCACACTTACTCTTGATTGCCTTCTTTTACATAAATTTACTTTTATCTTCTTAATTGAAATTAATCTCATAGACAGTGTTCTGTATTTCTTATCAGAAAATCTTTTACACCTCTTTTAAGATTTTTGAGATGGTATAAGATATTGCCAATCATAATTTGTTGAGGATTTTTTGAGTTGATTTCAGCACTGAAGTCACATAAAAATGTTTTTATATAATCAGAAAGGAAAAACTTAATGATTTGGTTCTATCAGTAGCAGAAACATCTGAAGAATATCATGGTACTATTGATGCTGAAACGTAATGTTTTTCTCTATGCTTCAGAATGAAAGATGGGAATTACTGCCTTGTTTTCTTTAGGTTAAGATTTAGCTTGCTTTTTTTCTCATATTATTTTCATATCATTGAAAAATTCTTCATGTCATTGAAAAATTTTCTGTGATGAGAAAATGTAACCGATCTTTTAAGTTAAATTTTAGAAGTTCTTTCTTATACCAAAAAACTGATTATCCATCCTATCAGCAAATAATAATATATCATAAATGCCAGTTAAAAAGAGGAAGTAATCTCTTGGGACTTTCCATTTCATTTGTCAGTGTCAAGAAACATTTTCATAGTTGTGTTATGATACCAGTTGTTACCAGATTTTAAAATAATATGTTGTGTGTTCTGTAAAATATATTTTCCAGTTCTAAAGGATTCATTTTTAAAAACTAATTAAAAATGTAAACAATAGCCTATTTCTCAATATAACACAATAACAATGAAAATACATGTATTGCTTATGCCATTCTATGCCTTCACATGGTAATAATTATTGGCATCTGTGTTCATTTACCTCAAGATTTTTAGAGCATTGTGGGTGAAATTATGTGTATGTGTATATACATGTATATATGTACATATATGTGAATAATAATAATCTTAGTGAAAGGTTAAAAGTTTTTCAAGTAACCACTAATGCCTACCCTTAAAATAATGAATGTCTTTTATGATCTGTAGTAACTTCATTAAATGTATTTACAATTTCTAAAGTTGTGGAAAGGTATTTGGCATCCCAAAAGTAAACATGGAATCTTTAGTTGTGGTTTATTTAAAAAGGGGGGGGGGTAAAAGTGATCTAAAATTTATGAAAGTTTTTTGTGTTGTTTGGCTCAAGAAAAGTTTTTGTTAAAAGCTGTATGACGGTGATATTAAATTCTTTAAAATATTTGCAGAGATATAGAGGACAGGAAGTTCCTCTTTCCTCAGTACAGTAACATAGTATTCAGTTGATTTTAATTCATCATAATTTTGCTTTTGCTAAAAAGAAAATCGTTACTGAATTTCCAAACCAGCAAATGAAAGAATATTAGTAGATAACAAGTAGTTATTAGTAAATCTGATTCCAAAAAAGATCACCATCAGAGGAGATAGGGACTAGACTTATAATTTCATTGGTATAGGGAATTCCAGGTGAGGGACTTCTTCTCTGCAACTTAAGAGAGTTGCCTAAAGCACTAAGAGTAGTAACTTTCCCAGGGTCACACAGCCAGGATGGATCAGAGGTAAAGCTTGAACCTAAATTTGCCAGACTTTAAGACCACTTCTTTGTCCATTATGCTGTGCTGCCTCGAGTCAATAAACTGACCCAAATTATCAGTTTAGCTACTTTAATTGGAGAAAGAGGGAGATGCCCCCAGCAGATTCATTGAGTCAGTAAGTCAGCAAGCATATATTATTTGTTTATTATGTACCAAGTGCTGTGCTAAGCACAGGAGGTACAAAGAAAAGCAAAAAAAATTACCTGCCTTCAGAGACCTCACAGTATGATGAGTGAGACCACATGCAATAACTAGGTATAGAAAAGATATTTATGTAATAAATGACAGTTAATCTCTAAGTGGAAGGCACAAGGAACAACTTCCTTTCTTTTCTGGCCCTATTTCTGACTCTTGAACTTCCAAACCGTGCTTTCTCATCCTGAAGCTTACCTACTGCCATTATGGCCTTCTTAACCTGGAACATCCTTCCCTCTTTTAAGGCTAGTCCCCTTCTCCCATTGATGAGCTCCTCCTGGAGCCTTCATTTTGCAGAGGGGCCCAGGCAGGCCTTCATCCCTCTCTGGCTCCTGTTTCTGGCTTCCATACTTGAAAACCATGCCCCCCCTGTATCAGGTACTTTCATCCTTTTCCTCTTACCCTTCTCCCATGTGTTTTCTTTCTCCATTAGAATGTAAAGTCCTTGAGGATAGGGACTGTCTTTTTGCTTGTGTTTGTATCCCCAGTACTTAGTACAGTAGCACGTAGTAAATGAGTATTGCCTGCCTGCCTGCCTGCCTTCATTCTTTAAGGATACTAGAAAAGACCTGCAGAAGTTGGGATTAGAGTTGAGGCTTAAAGGAAGTCAGGGAAGCTAAGAGTTGGATGTAAAGAGAGAACATCCCAGGAATAGAAGACATCCATGCAAAACACAAAGTTGGGTGGTCATATGCAGATCACCCCCCAAAAACACCAAGTACCCCTGTATCACTGAACTGTAAAGTGAGTGCTAAGTAGTGAGTAGTAAAGTGTGAGAAAACTGATAGAGCAGGAAGAGGCCAGCTTGCACAGACTTTTAAATTCCAGAGGACGTTATAGTTAATCCTGGAGATAATAGGAAACCACTGGAGTTTACTGACTGAGGTTTTAGGAAGATCACTCTGGCAACTGAGTGGAAGGTGGACTGGAATAAGGATCAGTCAGGCAGACAGGAGGAACCAGTGCGAAAACCCAGGGGAAGAAGGTGATTTTTTACAGAGAACTCAAGGAGGATGAGGCGTGAGAAAAGGCAGAGTTGTTCACTGAGAGATCGTTGTAACTGTAGAGAGCGGTTTCAGTAGACTAGTGAAGCTGGAAACAAGATTGAAGAGGATTTAATCAAGAATAAATAAGAGAGGAAGTAGAGTCACTTAGTGTAAACTCCTTTCTCAAGGAGTTTAACTGAGGAGAAAAGGGAGATGATATGAATAGCAGGAATGGTAGAATCACCTATGAGTTTTTAGGAATGGGAGAGATGAGGGTATATTTGTAGGCAGCGTAGTCACTAAGAAGAGATTGATGATTCCAAAGAGAGTGGGGATGATAATGAAGACAATCTGTTGGGGAATATGAGAAGAGGGATCGAGACTACTGATAGTGAGGTTGGCCTTGTTAAGGGGAAGGGCTCCATCTTCATGTGAGGTGGAAGAAGGGAGGAGATAGATGGCCACAATATCTTAAGTGATGTTGAGATGAGGAGGAGAAGAGAAAATGAAGCTCTTAGCAAATGGCCTCAGTTTTTTTCCACATTAACATCAATAAGGAGTGACAGCTAATGGATGGGACAAAACAGATAATATAAAAAGTATACCTATGAAGCCAGAAGTCATAGCGATTTCTGACATTTATTCAGGGGGCAGACAGCCCTGTGAACCTCAGTAGAACATAAGGAAATCAGGACAGTTGACAAAGTTAATGAACTATGAATGCCATCATGGTATATTGTAGAAGGTTTTAGACTTGGTGTTAGGAATACCTAGGTTCATATCCTGCCTCAAAGACTTGATACCTGTGTGACCTTGGGCACGTCACTTCATTTTTCTGGGCCTCGGTTTCCTTATCTGTAAAATGAGGGTGTTGGACTCAGTCACTTCTATGAACAAAAATTAAATGATACCTAATGTATTCTCGTCATAAGGCACGGAACTATTTAATGCATTTTAAAATTATTTCCATACAAAATGGTTTTAAATAAAAGGGTTTTGCACTTAGGGAACTAAATAACAGTTACTTGTAAAATTCAGTACTGTAGAACACTTTATTTCTGGTGATTCCAGAGAAGTCAGGTAGCATTGTATTTTAGCTTAAAAACAAGAAGCCTTAGAGTTTTCTAGAGATGATCTCCAAGATTTGAAAATCTGCCTTGAAGTAGATCTTATGTGTGTTGACTGACTTATCTTAGAGATGAAAAATATGGACCTTATCTTAGAGATCATTTTGTTTCCTATTCTGCCACCTGGGAATATTCTTTACAGATGACCTAGGCATCTTTTGCTTCCTCATGCTCATAATCATTAACATCAGGGAAAAAAAAATATCTGGATATCATTTTACCAGCAGAGTATAGAAACACAAATTGATAAAGATTCCCAGTTGATAGAATCCTTGTAAATCTTACCTTTCATCCTAGATAAAAGATTATCAGTCTTAATCTTAAAGATACAAAAAAAAAGAAAATTCTACAAATCTCTCAATAAGACATTATTTCATGGCACAAACATCATCATAGTTAGCGTTTGCCTAGCACCTACTATGTGCTAGGCACTGTGCTTAGCAGTTTACGAATACAACCTCATTTTATCCTTAGAACAACCTGGACTGTGTGTGTGTGTGTGTGTGTGTGTGTGTGTGTGTGTGTAATTTATTGGAGAGGTAAATAAGTAAATTGTGGGAATTATTTTGTAAAAATATTTTTAGAAATGTAACATCAAAAGTTTATTTCATAAATGTTTATCTTTGAGGTCATTTGTCATTATTTTACGCAGATTTTGTTGGTTTCTTCTTTCAATATAGGCTTTCATTAAAGATAGAGCCAGGAACAAGCGCACCGCGTTCTGCTGCTTCCAGAGAAGATTTAGTAGGTAATGTCGAATTTTCTTTCATAATCAAGAAGTGAAATAGCATTGTCTTCTTCTCCTAATAAAAAAGTTCTTTATTACAAGATAAATAATAATTAGCAAATTTTATAACGTATGCTGAAATTTGTGCTCGTTTATGCTTAGTTTTTCTTTTGATCAACAAATTTTTATTGTTATGTATATTATTCTGAATTTGTAAGTAGTAGAAGAGACAAAACATGTATAAGAAAATGTTTTAGAAACCTGCAGTTTTGACGACAGTAATTTCTAGAGAAACCAACTAGCCTTCCTTACCCATCCAAACAGAAGTCATTACATTTAATAATTATGGAAAGTTGGTGTGCAGACTTAATTTTAATATCCTTTTTAAAAAAACATACAGAGTAATCGTAGTCTACAGATAGTAGCAACATAATGGATATTATGTGCTGGGTTTATCCATAGGAGCTGAGTTCAAATCCCACCTTAGATACTTGCTATCTATGTCTTCCTGGGGAAATCACTTTAGATCTCTGTGACTGGAATAATTTACTAGGACTTGCCTACTAAGTTCTAGTTAGTGATTTCCCTCGATAATGAAATCACTCATTCTTCTTATTTATGTAATGCTGAACTAAGTGGTGAATTTTAATTACAAATTTCAATAAATTCAGGGATTAGGTTTTTATAATCCTCTACTTGTATTATCCTCCATGTACTGAGTATATTGTGTTATGTGATCATACAAAATATATAGTATGTAATTAAAATAAAGTCAGACTTCAGAGTTACTAGTCCTTTGTGTGGGTATTGTACTTAATTTAAAAAAAAAACCAATTACATGAGATTCTGGTATACTGTACAGAAAATGTAAAGTAGCTTAACAAGAAAGCTCTAAGTATCCTAAACATTTTTTTTGTTAGGATATGATCTTTTTTCCTAAAAATACATAGTTTGGTTTGTCTTATTGTTTTGAGTTTCTCGTCCCCCTAAACCCTTCCAATTTGAACATATTTAGTACTCCACTTGGAGAGAAAATGGGGCCCACTGATTCCTTATTGAAGCATCCTCAAGGGAAACTCCTGCCTCTGAATTTTAAAAAGTGTTCTGATACCAAGAATTTTTTCCTTAAAATATATGGAAGGTTTTTTTTTATTTTATTTTTCCTCCCTAGTGAGGAAATCCCCTGGCCCCTGCAGATCCACCAGGAGTAAGCACCTTAGTCTTAGTCTTAAGAAGTTGCCTGAAGAGCACACACGAGTGACTTCCCCTTGATCACACAGCCAGTACCCATCATGGGCAAGCCTTGGGTTCAGGTCGTCCTCACTCAACAAATGCAACAAATACCAATTTATATAAAATAAGCATTATGCCTTTCTCTTTTAAAAAGTTAATAATACATTCAAAGCATATACTGTTAAATTTTAGTAGCCATCATGATGTTTTGAATAGTTTGTGTTTCTTTTTCCAGCTGGAAGTTTTGATATGGAAATGTAAATAGTCCTGAATTATTTTCTTAATAATGGTTAGTTTTTCATCTTGTCCCTCGTATAATTGAAAAGATCCAACATTAATTTATATTTAAATTTAAGTAATAGCTAGCATTTATATAGCACTTCAAGGATTGCAAAGCCCTTTACAGATATTTATCTTCTCAACAACCCTGGAAGGTAGATGCTATTATTATCCCCATTTTCCAGATGAAGAAACTGAGGGAAAGCAAGGTAAAGTGACTTGCCTAGGATCACACAACTAGTAAAATGTCTGAGGCCAGAATCAGGTGTTCTTGAATCTAGGTCCAATGCTACTCCATCATCAACCAAAAGTAATTTTTTGAGCAGTGTTATAATCCTCGCCATCTAACATTTATTGCCCTGATGTAGCTACTTTTATTTAGGTAGTACTGACCCTCAGATGATACTCCTTGTCTGTTTTGTTTTGTTTTGTTTTGTTTTGTTTTGTTTTGTTTGAGATTGGCTCCCTATCTCTCCTAGTTTGAAAGTGCATTGGCCACTCATGGGCCTGATCGCACTGCTGATTGACATAGGTGTTTTGATTTGCTCTAATTCTGCTCTGGGCTGTGCATCCCCTCTTTAGGCAACCTGGCAGCTTCCCACACTCAGGGCTTCACCAAACTGGGGTCTGACTTAGTGTGGACACCAGATTGATTTAGCTCTTTCGTACTATTTGAACTCTCCAGTTCAAACAGTCCACAGCCTCAACTTCTCCACTAGCCAGGATTCTCATATAATATAGCATAATTATATTTTTTAAAGTAACTGGTGTATGTATTCTGTGTTTTCTCATTTGGAATGTATGGTAGACATAAACCTGTTCAAGATTAGAATAGAGGATAGACTGATAATTCCTAATCAATAAAATGCAATTGACATCAATATTTTAAGCCAAATCTTGCATGTTTTATGAGACCCAATAGTATCATTATGTTATCTTGTGAAATGTTGTTTATGGAAACACATCCTTGGAAATGGCTTTTTTTTTCTCTAAACCATAGGTCCTGAAGTAGGAGCATCTCCACAAGGTGGAAGAAAAATCATAGCAGCAGAAGGAGCCTTGCTACCACAAACACCTCCATCACCTAGGAATCTGATACCACATGGACACAGGAAGTGCCATAGCCTTGGTTATAAGTTAGCATTTTTTTAAACATTCAGATAATTAAAATTGCTTATCAGTTAGACTTATTTTCTGTGATCATTAGTTTTCTTGCACATGAATTACCAAAATTTCAGATTTCTGCATCAGAAGTTTAGTTTGCCTAAAATTTTTACTTTCCCAGTTTGCCTAAATTTGATAAAAAATTTCTTACTGATGTATGCACATATGTTTTGAGGTAGGTATTCTCAATTCAAAAACAATTCTCTTAAAAAGACATTCAATAAAAAAATTTTAATTTCTTTACAAGGAATGTACTTGTGCAGATAACCTGATACAAATAAAATCCCAGCAAATATTTCCTCATCAATTACAGATTTGTTTTCTTAAAAATCTCAGCCTGTAGATTATGTCAGTTTCATACATGTCATTTTCCTTCTCAACCAAAACAAATCATCTTAAATTATGATCTCAGGCTGGAGAATTTTCAGTTTTATTGCTAAATGTTAAAAGAAAAGGGAATCTGGTTCTCATTTATTCCAGAATATTTGCCTTTGGGATTTGGACTCATTATTCAGCCCTGGTATAGCTTTTGCAAATTTTTTATTATATACCCCACCTTCCCCTCCCTAGCCCCTTCAAGTGCTGTTATAAAATTATTTGGATAAAATCATTCAAAATAAAAGTGAATCTAAGTTTCAAGTTGAAGTACATTTAAAGCATCTTTTTTAAAATTTTTGTTTTGTTTTGCTTTGTTAAATAGATAGATGTTACCCTTTTTCAACAGTTCTTTTCCTTGGTCTTTAATAGAGCCAGAGACTTATAAAATCATAACCTAGGGCTGGAAGGGGTCCTAAGAGGCTGTCTATCCCAACTTATTTTACAGATGAGGAAATGGAGTCCTGTGGAAATTAAATGACTTGTCTGAGGTCACATAGGTAGTATTAGAGGTGGGATTGAACCCACTGACTACCACCAGTGTTCTTTCCACTTTCCTGATCTGTTATTCTTATTTGTATAAGTATATAATTTTCTGTGGTTGTAACTGTTTTCTTTTTTATAAGAATAAGTCAAATAAGTTAACTTCTGGTAATGTGTGCAAATACAACTTAAATGTTCTGTCTGCATTGCCCTAAAGTAAGTGTAATAAAATACAAGACTAATTTTTTCTCTTTCCAGTTTCATTCATAAAATGAACACAGCAGAATTTAAGAGTGCAACATTCCCCAATGCAGGGCCAAGACATCTACTGGATGACAGTGTCATGGAGCCCCATGCACCATCCCGAGGACAGGCTGAAAGCTCTACTTTGTCTAGTGGAATATCAATAGGTAAGGAATATGCCCTTCAGAATCATTACAAAATATACTCATCAAGAGTTTTTCTTGGAATTTAAGTTCAATTGACCTTGAACCAAAGAGGAGTCAAGTGGCTTCCACAAACTTAATTATGATCATTGTTAAAAATTATTTTTATATTTTCCCTGTTCACATAGTAAGTTATGGTATAAAAGGCTCAAATTTTAATTGTTCAAAATAAATTACTTGATACAGAAATTAAAATGTCTGAAAATGAGAGTGAGTCCAAATTTTCTTTTACATCATTTATATATTCTCTGTATAAAACTTGTATGCTAATATTTTAACAAATTCACGCAGTATCATCAGTTTATTTTTGGAGGTATACTGGGATATGTGGGTGCTAGTATTCATTTTATGACCGCAATTAGAGAATTTATTCTGTAGGCAACTAAAGGGAGCAGTGGATAGAGCTCTGTGCCTTGAGTCAGGATGCCCTGAGTTCAAAACAGTCTTCAGATACTTATTAGTTGTGTGACCCTGGGCAAATCGCATAATATCTGCCTGCCTCAGTTTCCTCAACTGTAAAATGGTGATAATAGTAGGACCTACCTCACAAAGTTGTTGTGAGCAAATAAAACATTTGTAAAGCACTTAGCACAGTACCTGGCATTATATAATTGAAAATGATGATGATTATATTCAAACTGGATGAAAACTTGTTTGTTAAAAAAAAAAAATCAGACTAATAATTTTTGGTTTTAGGTAGCAGTGATGGGTCTGAGCTTAGTGAAGAGACCTCATGGCCTGCCTTTGAAAGGTAAGACAAAGTGCTTATTTGAAAGCTCTGAATTGAATTTGTCTGTTCACTTATAATATGTCCCTATAGATTCACATTAAGCTGTAGCAATTGGTGTTAGAGGTCTGTAATTTTAAGTAGTAAAGTTAGATTTATCTCCATATGAACTTTTTTCATTAAGTGAATTCACCAATCACTCATTTGCCAAACATATATTCATTTTTGAGACACCCAGTATGTAGAAAGCATTCTCTTGGGGACTTAAAAGATAGTCCCTGCTCCAGTTTACTTTCTGTATAAGATAGAGAGAGTGTATAAATGGAAGATGACCTCAGAGGGAAGCAGCTGGGGGCGACTGGGAAAGGCCTCTTGAAGAAGGTGAGATTTGAGCTGAGTCTTTGAAGGAAGGCAGGTAGTAACAGAGGTGAGGAAGGAAAGATGAAAAGTCAAGAGATGGAATATTGTGTGTGGAGAAACAGTAAATAACCCAGTTTTGCTGTCCTGTAGAATACTTGGAAAAGAATAAAATAAAAGATCAGAAAGATAGGAAGGGTCCAGGTTGTTCAGGGCTTTGACTGCCAAACAGGTTTTCTAGCTGATCATCGAGGTAATGAAGAGTCACTAGAATTTATAGAGTTAAAGGGATAACATGGTCACACCTACACTTTAGGAAAATCACTCTGGCAGTAGATTGGAAGATGGATTGTAGGAGACACTTGAAGCAGAGAAACTGGTTGGTAGGATATTGCAACAGTCCATTCAAGAGTTGAGGGCCCGAATTAGGTAGTAGCTATTTACATAAAGAGAAAGGGGCTCATACAAAAGATAATGTGGTGATAGAAACAAGACTTCACAGCAGATTGTCTCTGAGGGAGAGAAAGAAATGAGGATGGCAAAGTTGGGATCCTTGGTGACTAAGAGAATCGTGGGTGCCTTAAAAGTAATAGGAAAGTTGGTGGAGGGGAGATAATGAGTTCTGTTTTGGATATGTTGAGCTTGAGATTTCCAAAAGGCAGTTGGTGATGTGGATTAGAGCTCAAGAGAGGAAGTAGGGCAGCATATATAGTTCTCAGAATCATATTTATAAAGATTATAAGTTGGCTCCATGGGAGCCAAATGAGATCACCAATCTAGATAACAGTACAGGGAGAAGAGGGCCCAGACTGAAGGACAGAGCCTCAGGGATCCCCCAAGATATAAATGGGTGTGACCTGTTTGAAGAATCATCAAAGAAAACTGAGAAAAAGCAATTCAACAAGTAGGAGGAGAACCAAGAAAGCTTAGTGTTATGAAAAATTAAATAGGAGAAGAATAGCCAGCGGAAGAAAGTGATTGACATTGTCAAATGCTGTAGCGAGTTTAGAAGAATGAAGATTGAGAAAAGGCCATTAGATATGGCAATTAAGCGTCATTGATAACTTTGGAGAGGACAGTTTCAGTTGAATGGTGAGTTAGTCAACTAGCATTTATTAAGCACCTACTTTGTGCTAGGCACTATGCTAAGTGCTAGAGATACCCCCAAAAAGGCTGTTCTTGATCTCAGGGAGCTTACAATCAAATGGGGGAGACAACATGCAACTAACTATATCTAAACAAGGTATATTTAAGATAAATTAGAGATAAGAGAAAGGAGTCATTAGCATTGAGGGGGAGTGGGAAGGCTTCTTGAGAAGGTGGGACTTTGGATGAGATATGAAGGAAGGCAGGAAATTAGGAGGTGAAGATGAGGTGGGAGAGTATTCCAGGTATGCAGGACTGCAAGTAAAAATGCATGGAGCCAACAAGGTAGGCAGTGTTATGGGCTGGCAAGTGCATGGGGAAGGCTAAGTAGGGAATTGAGGAGTGAGACTAGAAAGATAGGAAGGGACCAGGTTATGGAGGGCTTTAAAAATCAAACAGAATTTTACATTTGATCTGGGAGGTGATAGGGAGCTACTGAGTAAGGAGGTAACATGGTCAGACTTTCACTTTAGGAAGGTAATTTGACAATTGGGTAGAGAATGGACTAGACCATGGTGGTGGCAGTGTCAGGAAAAAAAAGGGGGGCTTGTGCTAGAGACACTATGAAGTAGGAAATGACAGGACTTGGCAACGTTGGTTATGGCAGGTGGGAGTGATTGAGAAGACAAAGATAACGCCTAGGTTGTGGGCCCAGATGCCTGGTGGGATGATGGTACTCTTGACAATAATAGGAAAGTTTGAGGGAGAAAGGTAATGAGTTCAGTTTTGGACATGTTGAACTTAAGATCCCAATGAGGCGTCCAGTTGGAGGTCAGAAAGAAGGTTAGGGTTGCACAAATAAATGTGAGAATTATCTTCATAGAAGTGGAGGGAAAGGAGAAGAGGGCCTGGGACAGAGTTCTGAGGAACCTACAGTTCAGGTGTGGCCTGGATGAAGATCTGGCAAAGAGGAAAATTAGACGAGCAGTATCATAAAAACTTAGAAGAATATCAAAGAAAAGAGGGCAGTTCCCATCAAATACTAGAGAAGTCAAGGATGAGGATTGAGAAAAAGCCATTCGATTTGTCAGGTAAGAGAATGCTAGTAACTTTGGAGAGCAGTTTCAATTGAGTTAGCAGCCAGACTGCAGAAAAGTAAGAAGGGAAGTTGGAGGAAATGAAGTGGAGGCATTGATTGTACACAGTCTTCTCAAGGAGGTTAGCTAGAAAAGGGAGAAGAGATAGAGGACAGCACCTCGTAGGGAGGGATGGGAGTTTTTTGAAAATGAAAAAGACGTGTAGATGAGGGAGGAAACCAGACTTGAAGGGAGTTTAGAAGAGAGTAGGGGAAACGGGAGAGAACAAGCATTTACTGAAAGCCTACCATGTGCCAGGCACTGGGCTAAGTGCATTCGTCACAGCATCCCTTTGAGACTCGGTGTAATTCTCAAGGAGGTTAGCCATGAAAGGGAGGAGGGATAAAGGCCAGTAGCTAGCAGGCGTGATTGGATCAAGGGAAGGTTTATAGGTGAATTTATGGGCAGCAGGGGAACCGCAGGCCACTTAGTAGGGAAAAGTTGACGATTAGAGAGGGGATGGAGATGCTAGTAAGGTAGTCTGCTGGAGAACAGGTGATATAGTGAGATCAAGGGTGCATTGGCAAAAAGAAGGGACCCACCTTATGGGAGAAGCATGAACAAAGAGCTCTCAAAGGGAAGTAACTGAGTGGTTTGAAGTGAAGACTAAGGGATGAGGAGAAGCCTTCAGTGATTGGCCTTAGTTTCTTCAGGGACATAGGGATTGAAGTTCTCTGCTGAAAGGTTGAAAGGGCAGTATGAGAATGTTTGGGGTAGCTACTGTGAGCAGTAGGGTAATAGACTGATTAGGGAGATGTAAAAGGATTGACTTGCTGCCATTAAGATCATGTAAGATAAATTTATTATGGACCTAGTCACCACGATTTTCTGATTTGCCCTAGTTCTGTTTAGCAGCATGTGAATAAGAATGAAAGAGGCCAGTGGTAGGAATAATCCAGGACTGGGGTTTGGTAACAGAACAAGAGGGTGAGGGATTCTAAACTGACTTAAGACACTTTGTATAGTTGAATTAAAAGTCATAATGTAAAATAGAACATGCCGAGTGTCCTGAATGGTCTGAGGAAGGAGAGATCGCATTTGATTGTGAGTATTTATGATACAATAGTAATAAAATTTCCCTGTAAGATTTGTCATGAAGTTAAGACTGAATTTTACAGCTTTTTTTATTTCCATGACTTCCGCATTCCCTTGAATTCTAAGTAGAAGATGATAATTCTAGTCATGATTGCCACTAACTTAGCTATGTCACCTTGATCACGTCACCTGTCCTTTCTGAGAAGAGACGTCCTGTAGGTCAAGAGAGTATTGGACCTGGGGTCAGAGTGGGTTCCATTTCTACCTTTGACACTTAACTAGCTGGGTAACCACAAGCCTGTCACCTCACCCTCATCTATAAAATAGAGTTGTTGTGAATCTCAAACAAGATAAAGTAAAGTGATTTGTCAACTTTAAAGTGTTATATAAATATCCCTGGTTATCACTCAGTTTCCTTATTATATTAAAAAAAAGTGGTTAAAACTAAACGGTCCCTTCCAACTGCATGTTAGCCATGGCATCAGAAAAGTAGACAGTCCCAGACTTTCCTCTATTCCAAGGGTAGGCGTTGTGTCATTTAATAAGTTGAAGTATCAATAATGCAACTTTACAAGTGTATTTGAACATTGTCAGTAACACGGAAAGTTTTTATTTACTCTATGTAAACTGGCAGTGTAGTATCCCTTACATGTGTAAGGGATCCCTCTTCTCTTGTTGTCTATATCATTTGATTTAAAAGATCAAAATTGTCTACCTAGGGGCAGCTAGGTGGTGCAGTGGATAGAGCACCAACCCTCGAGTCAGGAGGACCTGAGTTCTAATGAGGCCTCAGACCCTTGACACTTTCTAGCTGTGTGACCCTGGGCAAGTCACTTAACCCCTATTGCCTCAGCAAATTAAAAAAAAAATTGTCTACCTATAGCAAATGACATAAAATTTACATAAAATATAACATTTATATCTGAGTTCAAGTGAAAAAAATAACGAATAATAATAATATTAGAATTAAATTCCTTTAAGGCTTTTTCCTTATTTCTAGTCATCTGGGCATTCGACTGAAATAATTTCTGAATAAAATGTATACAAGCCACAAATATTGTTTTCAGTGTCTGTTTAAATTGTAGAACAGCTTACACTAAAATTTGACTTCTTCCCTACATTTACAAGTATATTTGAACTGATAGTAAGAATTTTGAAAGAGACCAGGACCTCTCTGGGAGGAAACATCCTGTAGGATGCAAAAGAAATTTGAAAGAGGAATTAAATTTTAATGCTTATGTTAATAAAGATTTCTTCTAATCAACATGTGATATGGGTAGTTACAGGGATGTTATAGTTTTGGATATCAAAATATTTCATTTCTTCTGGATTTAGAATTGTTAGTATCCTCCAGTTTTCTTTGTTTATACTATTTATTTTTAAATTATTTCTTTTGCACACTTAATCTTCACTCTTTTTGCTTAGATTTTCCTAAGAGGAAAGAGCAGAAGAGTTCCCATTGACTTTGTCTCCAAATTTAACAAGTTATCTAACAACTTGGGTTTTCCTTCTTGAAAAATAATCATAGTCCTTGTTATCAGCTGTTGACTACAGAGTATTTTAAGGAGTACCAAAAACTGTGTTCCAGATTCTTTTGGTCATACCTACAGTATTACTAGAGTAATAATGATTCTAATGATACTAGAGTAATAAAAGATTCTGGCAGCTTCGTTATGAAAGTACTCTTTCTAGGAGTGACCTTCAGAATCCTCTAAAACTTGGTGACAAATGTTTTGCTTTTCAGACATTTGCAACTAAAAGACAACTGCCATTGTGCCAAGTTTAAGACATATAGCATGCCTTGAAAAATTTTGAGTATGGTTAAATAAATGGTGCCCAGAAGAAATAAGACAGAAAAAAAAAAACCCAGACCTAAGACTCTTGACAGTGGATGGCAGCACTCAAAATAGTAAACTTAATGCATAAAATCATTCCTCTTTAAGAAAATTTGCATCCTGTATTTGCTATTGCTTAAGATAACAAAATGATGTTTTTCATTTTAAATGTTATTTGTTAACAATTCTACTTCTGACTTTCCCCAGGCAAAGAGAGGAGTCAGTGTTTATAGATGTGTTTTTCCTTTTTTAACAATCACATAACATTTTGAATAAATAATGTCTCAAAGTGTTTTAACACTTCTTAACTATTTATTGATATGAAAATAAAATACTGCCAGTGTTTAGTGCTTTATTAATGATTGGCCACTTTTCTTTGACCATTAGCATGGAATTGAAAGGAAAATAATAGATAAGACTATTGTAGTTCATATTTAAATGGAAGCTTTGTTGTATTTTAGGTGTCTTCATAGGGACATAAAGTAAAAATGAACTGTTCATGTCATTCAGGTATCACTACTCAAATTTGAATTCAAAGAGATATGATAGGAGTTAATTGTTGTATTTTTAAGAGTTTCTATATTTTTTGGTATACTTTGTGTGTCTGCAACACTTGAATCCTTTATAAAAATTATGATGATGAAAGTCTGGTGATGGCTGTCAGTCACATTAAAAACCATAAAATATTTTTTAGAGGAACTGACATCACCTGTTCAGTGATAAATGATTTTTTTTTTTAATCTATGCTGCATGCTTTTTTAAAAAGAGGGAACTCATCAGATACTGCCCATTTGTAATAGTAGTCAGCTATATTACTGGGAGAAACTATTATACTGTTCTAGGTACTGATAATGATTGTGTGCATAAAAGTATATGTAATATATACAATTTATAATGGAATCCAACAGGAACAGATTATACCATTCTCTCGGTCCGGTGACAAGAGTGGCACGAAATGGCTATCGGGGCCACATGAAGGCCAGCAGGTACAATTCCCCTGCACTCAGGGGTCATAGAATTTCCCTCTGGTGTTGGTGATTGGCTTAAGTGGGTGTGGTCTGACATTATTCCTGTTTTTCCCAAATCACTGATTAAGATTTAACCAAAAATCCCAATATAACTTTCTTCTCATGATTTAATGTAGATAATTTTGCAACATGGCTCCCTTCTGACCTACAAATGATTACTAGCATCTTACATCTCTGTGGCAAACTCTTAAAGATGCTTTTAAGTAGGTATCTTTAGTGCCTGGATCTTATTGATGCTTTTAGTCATCAGGTTGGCAACAAAGCTGCTGTTAAGTGTAAGGCTTCATTTAACATGTTTTCTTTGCTAACACTTCTACATTCAGTTTGTCTTTTTAATTGTGGTGTCAGGTAAATTTTAGGTGGTGAATTTAGATAAGCCATTGACAAAACCATCATATTTCTAACAATAATTGTATCTTAAAAGTCATGTTCATTCATCCTAATTAAACTAGCTTCCTTTTTGCACCGGGATAGATAATTGTAGAAATAAATGAAAGAGCCAGTTCTTAATATTTACTACAAAAGAGCAAATGTTAATTCTTAGCATTAAATTTCTTGTTCATTTGATGGTGTCTGAATTATTCTCCATGCATGTGGCTTCAGATTCATAGCTCTAGCAAAAATTTTCTAGCAATTATCAGATTTTAAGTCACTTTGAAGACACCTAAATTATGATGTTAGTTCAGCTAACAAGCTCAAATTTACATCGGTTTTTGAAAGACTTCTGTACTCAGTGTGACATAGATAGAGAACTACATATTCAACCTGATTACATACAGAAAGTTTTTCTTTTCAAATATAAGAATTTAGACTAATTGAAAAGAATCATTTCGCTTTTTTTTTTTTCATTATTTATTGTTGTTGTTGTTGTTGTTGTTATTGTCTTGAGACTTAATGGAAAGGAAACCAGAGATTTTTGTTCATATTCACTTCTTGAGCAGCCTGCAGACTGTTATGGAATTTACTTGTGCATTACAATATTAAATTATCATTTTGATTTATGGCCAGATCAGGTTTTTTTTATCTATATTATTACTGCTTCTATTATTTGTTTCACATATTTTAAAATTAAATTAAGTATGTTTTGTTTGAGCTGTTGCTGTGTTGGGTTGTTTTTTTGGTGGTTTTTGTTTTGGTTTGGTTTTGCAGTTTTACTTAAATGATTCTGACAAAAAGAATCCTTATCTTTCTCCGCAGTACTGAAAAATTCTAATGGGAATTATATATTTATATAATAGTAATGTATTAATATAGTATTTAATGAAGAAAAATTCTTTTAATCAAATCCTTACTCAAATTATTATATTATTTTAAGCCTGTAAATGTATTCTGATATATAGAAAAGTTCTCTATTTTGAACCATCTGCTGGATTTAATAATTTCTTAATTAACTTTTGTAAGTTTATAAATTTCAGATAATTTTTTTCTAGTTGCCAGTCCTTTTTTCTCAGAGTTCTAAGAAATGAAGTAACACAATTTAAAAATTCAGAATAATAATGTTTCATTTGAGTATTACCTACCTTGATAACTGCCTAGACAAAAATCCTTACATGTTCCTTTTTCTTTCTTTTACATAATTATAGTTCTGCAGAGTCAGAAGATTTGGCTGTGCATCTGTATCCAGGAGCAGTTACTATTCAAGGTGTTCTCAGGAGGAAAACTGTTTTAAAAGAAGGCAAAAAGCCTACAGTAAGACTTTATCATATTATATTTATCATAAGTATGAAACTACATTTGTTTTGGGGCTAAAATGATGTGATAATGAACCTAGGGAAAATCAGCCATTATGACTTGGAGGTCACCTGGTTACATATATGCTTGCTCTATAGCATATCTGTGTTACCAGAAAGTTGACTGTAAGTACAATCATATTTTTAATTCATTAGCACCTCTTGTTATTTAAAGGAAACCTGTTTTCTGTCCTATTATAAAACAAAGAATCACCCTTTGAATTCACTAGTCTAGATTTTCATCTATGTGGTTTGCTTAAAACCTTTTTCTCTCATTGTTATTGTGTGCTCTCAAAAATCTTCATGCACAGAATTCTATCTATTTGGACTGCTTGCAGATTTTCATTTCTGTGAAAAAGACCAGTTTCATTTGGGAGACCCAAAAGATTTTTAAAATTCTGTTTTGTTAACCTTATATTCAAATAATTTACATTATGTGAGCTATTTTTTAAACACACTGCTCCTAGAATTAACTTCTGAAAATCAGTGTGTGCTTTCTAAATAGAGGAGATGCCCTGGTATTTTGCTACTTCAGCTATCCAATGAATCATCTTGTGTCCTCTAGTCTGCGAGAACTATACTCAGTGGAATCTAATTCAATATGACAATGCTATGTGTTTAGTACTGCACCTCAATAACAGGGTTTTAGAGGAATTCTGCTCTTACTAATGACTATTAAGGAAAATTGTTGCCCTTCTTTAAATTTGTTAAAGCATATAAAACATAATGTAGTAGAAAGATCACTAAACTGGTAGTCAGTAAACTTGGATGCTATTCTTGGTTCTACCACCATTAACTATGTGATGTTGGACAGATCACAGCTTCTCAGGGTCTCAGTTTTCTCATCTATAAAACAAAGTGCTGAACTAAATAACCTACAAAGTTACTTACTGCTTTGAAATTCTAGATTCTATAAATCAGTTTGCTGTTTAAAGCCTTTCATTATGACCATGTACTTTCAGAAGCTGTGAATTGAATGTGTTCTTACAAGGTAAGGATGTTTTGTTTTGTTTTTAAGTAATATAATCTCCTTCCTTGCCTTACTGAAAGTAATTACCAAATATTACTATCCTTAGTCATCTAAATAATAGATTTGTGGTTTTAAAGCTGTAAAGTACTGTCATCTAGTTATCTAGTCCAACTCCTTTTACAGAGGAGGAAACTGAGGTGCTGATAGGTTAAGTTGCTTGCCAAGGGCACAGAGGTAATAAGTGATGGAGGCAGGATTTGAACCCAAGTTTTCTGTTTTCTGACTCCAAATCCAGCCCTCTTTGAACTGCTGACATACAGCAAAAAGTATAATGATTCCCAACCTTATTCTGATTATGCCTCTAAAAAATTACCATATCAAAAAAAAAAGTTCAAAGCATGGTTACTTGTCAGAGTGAAGGATAGATAACAATAAAGTTTCCTTCATGAAGTAAAAAAACATTTCAACAAAAGTCAGTGGTATCTACTGATTCTGGTAAATGAGAATGATGATATTTAGCAAAACTTAAAAGTATCCTGAACATTTTAAAAGTTTCCATTAGAAAAAGAATGATGTTTTAAATTGTAAAGAAGCAAAAATATAACAATTTAAGAGTTTTGAGGAGCCTCAGTAACCATCTAGCTATGCCTTGGTGGAAGTAAGGATTTCAACAGGCAGAGATTTGGATGGAGGGGAGGTGGTTTAAAAAAAAAAAAAAAAAAGGAGCACAAAGGCACTGAGTTGGAATGAGGCAAAAAGAGATTGAATGGAAAAAGCAAGTAATACAATTGGTCTATAACGTTGGACAACATGAAGGGGAGTAATGAAAGATAAAATCAGTTGTATGAGAAAAAGTTTTCTGTTATCATAAAACTACAGCTGTTTCTTAATCCATTGCATTTCTCTTTTTGTTTTTCCTGTCAGAAAAGTTAGAATCTAATTGATTGCCTTTGTGCTCAGTTCTGGTGACCAGCATTTGCTCCTTCAGCTCTCTTTAGTAGCTTCCTGTTTTGAGCTTTACTTCATTGTGTTTCATCTTTAAATGTCTCAGATCTTTTAAAGAAGTCTACTTTCGAACGCAGGAAAGGAGGTTTTTGTCCTATCGATGGAACTACACAGGCAGCCCTCCTTATCTGAAAGCAAATTTGTTGCAATTGATTGCAACATTTATGTGTTTGAATCTATTAACTTGGTTCTTTGCTCTTTTCAGGTAGCATCTTGGACAAAATATTGGGCAGCTTTGTGTGGGACGCAACTTTTTTACTATGCTGCCAAGTCCCTAAAGGCTACAGAGAGAAAACATGTAAGTCTGTGTGTGCGTGGGGATATGTGTATGTGTGTATGTTCCACTCTCCCCTCCCCACATTCACCTGATGATAATACTAAATTATGTAATTTCCTAATATATGCCTGAAGGATTTCAAATGTGACATTGTTCAGAAGTTCTCACATGTTTTTCTCCTTAGATTTCTCATAACACTTTCTCTGGATGCCTCCTTTGCACTAATCACTTTCTGTATTATAGTCTGCGTGCAAGCACCGTGTGTGTGTGTGTGTGTGTGTGTGTGTTCGTTCCATTCCACCTGAAATATATCCCCTCCCACAATTATAAGCTCCTGAGGGCAAGGGATGGATTTCATTTCTTCTTTGTATTCCCAATACTTAGCATAATACCTATAGTTGCTTAATATATATTGTATTAATATTCAAATTTCAGTAACCTATACTAAAGCAATGTGCTTTTCCTTATTTGGACATTTTTGCTGAGAGCTGTTACAGATTTTTTTTGTGTGCCATTTTGAAACATGAACATTCCAAATGGATTCTGGTTGAGGAAATTCAACAGACAAATTATTTGACTCAAGCGTATTAGCTTGACCATCTTGTTTCACTTACTGAAAGGATGAACAAATTATTGATACTCCTTTCCAGGGGTTCTTCATTAATTTCCTGACTCAAGCCTCTTGCTTGAGCTTAGTACTTTGATTTTCTTTTCCACCTAATGAGATAGATAATGTGTATTTTAATTAGTAGTTTTTCTTGCATTTTAAAAATTGAGTCTTAATTTCTTTTATAAGCACAGTAAGCAGCTAATGGTGTTTTCTGTTTAAATTTCTACTTCTATTAAATTATAATCTCAAAACTGGAACCTAATAATAAGCAACATAATACCCACCAAAAAGGGAATTTTCCCTTTCATCTTAAGTATATTTTTTAAATACATGGATTTTTTCAAGATGTTTCATAGATCTTAAGTAAAGCTCTGTGACAGTATTTAAGGTCTTCACAGGACGGTCCAAAACTTCTTGAAGAAAGAAATACGGGTTTTAAAATGGAGTCAGCCGAGGGCCTAGAGAATTGATAGGACTTTCTCAAAATAATACAGGCAGGACTAGGAACTGAGTCTCCTGAATCCTAAGTAGGAGTTTTCCGCTTTTGCCCTGGTAATCCGAATGGTACCAATGGGTTGTGGGTAGGGGAAATGGGAAAATTATTAATTCTAGGAGTTCCTTACTTGGTGCCTTATATACCTTGCATTTTTCTTTGAAACTACTATTTAGAAAGGCTTGGCTTGTTTATCTCTGAACTTTCAATCTCCCTCTAGCAAGTTGAGTTCTTCTTCTTTAACAGTCTTATTCTAGAAACTTAGGTGTTAATTGTCATTTAAAAACTTAAATTATACCAGAAACAATCTGTGATTTACCTAGTTGACTTTATATTTAAACATTTTCCTTTTAAACCTTTTATTTAAAAAATCAAATATGATTTATATATTGTTTCTCTCTCTCTCTCTCTCTCTCTCTCCCTCTCTCCCTCTCTCCCTCTCCCTCTCTCTCTCTCTCCCCCTTATCTCTCTATCTCGGTGTGTGTGTGTCTCTCTCTCTGTCTCTGTCTTCCTTATGCCCATAGAACCCTGTAATATCAGAGTTGGAAGGAGCCTTAAGCTTATAGAAGGGTGCTCAATTTATTGATGAGGAAATTAAGCCCAGAGGGGTTATGGCATGTCCATTGTTACATAGCTAGTTAGTGGAATATCAGAGACTAGGACTCAGTTCTTTGATCTTGATTTCCTCATATTGAAAGCAGGCAAAAAGCAAAAACCTGCTTACTTATGTGTCAGGCATTGTACAAAGTGTTAGGAATACTAATGCAAGCAGGGGCAGCTAGGTGGCACAGTGGATAGAGCACCGGCCCTGAAGTCAGGAGGACCTGAGTTCAAATCCGACCTCAAACCAAACACTTGACACTTAACTAGCTGTGTGACCCTGTTCAAGTCACTTAACCCCAGCTGCCTTTAAAAAAAAAAATACTGATGCAAGCAAAAAGAAAGACAGCCCTTGCCCTCAAGAAGCTTATATTCTAAAGGGAGAAGATAACACTGTAAAGGGAGCTGAGAAGTGGAGAAGAGAGTGTGGTAGCAAAATCTAGCAAGTCAGAAACAGAGCCAGGTGAAAATGAAGTATAGCCAGTCCAGGCTATCCCCACAATGGAGAAATAAAATGAAAGGAATTCACCACTGGAGCAGGAGATCCACAAGGCAAAGGAAATGTTCCAGCATGGGAATGCAATTAAGTCATGGCAGTACAGAGTCAGAAGCATAGCCAGAAAGGGAATGAATGAATCCTCAGGAACAAAACAACAGACAAAATTTCAATAAATGTAGATCTACTTCTGCCCTTAATTTACCCTCTATGACCTTGGAAGAACCACTTAATACTCATGTCTTTCATTCACCTCTTCTCCCTCCATACTATTTTGCTTGGTAAGCTCATCAGCTCCAATGAATTCAGTTATCATCTCTACGCTCACAGCTTTTAGATCAGATCAGCCTGCCCTAACCTTTCTCCTGACCTCCATTCTAGCATCACCAACTGCCTGTTGAAAATCTTGAACTGGTGGTCTCATAGATGCCAATTCAACAGATCCAAAACTGAACTCATTATCTAATGCCTTACCCCAGAACCTTTCCTTTTCTGAAGTTTCCTATTATAGTCAAGGGTACCAACATTTTGCCAGTCACCCAGGCTTAGGAGTAGTAGTAAGGCAAAGGATAAATATGCACAGTTGAATAACTTTTGGGACATAGTTCCAAATTGTTTTCCAGAATACCTGGATTATTTCCCAATTCCACTAACAGTACATCAGTGTGCCTATTTTCCTGCAGCCCTTCTTCTCCCCTCCCCCCCATTTGCAATTTTCCTTTTTTGTCAACTTTGCTAATCTGTTTTGGGTGTAAAGTAGAACCTCAGGGTGACTTCTGTTTCTTGAGAAATTTTGTTTCTCAGTGTATCAGAATGTTTTTCAGAATTAATCATTCCCTCAGTGAGAACAAGCGTTTTAGGCCCACTGGAAGTTTAAAAAGAATTCCCAAAACATTGTGAAGGGTGGATATTTTATAGTGAGTTAAAGATTAACCAGATCTGATAAATTCACCTGGATTTCTTCTGACAACAGTTTTAGTATGACCTTGGATGGAAAAATTAGCTTCATCAGTAAAAATCACCTTTTTTCCACTCTTCAGAAATCCAGTCTTTCTTGCCCGTGACAATTTTCATGCCCATGACTATTTGTGAGAATAGTTAGCAGTTAGTTAACTAATGTTAACAAAAATCTTTAATTTCTCACTCAAGAAGCCAGCTTCACACTGTAGAGGAATATCTAGATTCTACTTCCTTCTTAAATTCTTTCCTTTTTTTCTGAGGCTTGCACTATTTTGTCATAACAATTTGTCGGTTTTAAGCTTGTTTTTTGTTTTTTATCACACTTTCCTTTTCATACAACTTCTCTACCTTACCAACAAAATGTGCTTTTTAAGAGCTACACTACTTTTGCCCATTCCCTTATAGTTATATTCATTCTTTAAAACTACAGTATTTTTTTTATTTTAATTTTTTAAAAATAGAAAAAATAAAACTACAGAATTAAAAATACAGCAAAAAGGAGCAGTGAAGCATGACTGTACATTAAATCCTGAACTCACTTGTTTGGAGAAGAGGGGAATAAAATAAGCATTTATATAGCACTTATTATGTGTCAGGTACTATACTAAGCACTTTTTAAAAAAAACATGTATTAGGTTATTTGATCCTCACAACAATCCTAGTTGGTAAATGCTGTTGTTATCCTCATTTTACAGTTGAGTAGACTGAGACAAGCAAGTTAAATAACTTGCCCCAGGATCACACAACTAGTAAGTGTCAGAGATAGGATTTGAACACAGGTCTTCCTAATTCCAGGCCCAGTGCTCTGTCCAGTGCATCACTAGCTGGCAAGTAACTAAAGGTGGGAAACCTGCTCAGTAGGGTTTTATCTAGTTAAGATCAGACATTTTGATTCATCCTAGTATTAATAGAAGCACACATGAATAACCATTATGGTCACAAATTAAACCAGATCAAAATTATTACTTCTCCAGAGTGATAGTGATACTCCACTGTAGTGTAGGAGTGGGCACCAGAACTGAGTTTTAAATGGAACCCAGGCTATCCAGAGGCAATGTGAGAAGGAAGAAGAATGTTTTAGGCATGGGGCAAGTCTTTTTAAAGGCATAGAGTCAATAGAATGTGGTAAACGGGGAACAAGAAACTATCCCACCTTACTAAGATCGTGGCAGCAGTTATTTATTGGCCCTAAAGTCTTCTTCCTTTTTAAAGAAATGTACTGCCTTATTCAGTCTTCCTCTCTATACCAATCTCTAGGGATGGACTTCGTTATATATGTTGCTATCTCCTTGAAGTTCATGAAGCTCTTCAAGGCCTAGGACCATACCTGTCTGTTTTTGGATTAGAATGAAAATACAGATCATGAGAGTATGTAAGGGAGGATGGTGAGAAATTGTGGAATGAATCTCTGAGAAGGACTTGCTAAATGGTAGAGGAGTAGCGGGCATTATGGAAGTGTGTGTAGTAAAGAGCAAGTAGCATGCTTACTTCTACTCCTGTGTCTCAGGTGTGAGAGCTGCCTCCAGTACTGGAGAACATGGCCAGGAATTCAGTGCCTTCTCAGGGAACCAGATTTCTGATGACAAAGACATGAAAGGAAGGGGCTTGCACTCCACTGGGCAAAGAGAAGATAAAAGTGTATTCACAGTGCATTAATAGCTAGGAAGATGAAGAAATTCCACATAGGTGACTGCAAGCCGGAGATTCTGAGAGGCAGAAGGGAGGAAGGAGAGCATTCTGGGCACGACATGAAGGCCCAGAAGCCAGAGATGGGATGTGGAGCTCTGAGAATAATTAGGACATGAGTTTGACTGAATTTTGAGTTTTAGGAAAAGCATATAAAATCTACCATAAAAGTCAGCGTGAGCCAGATACTTCAAATGCCATGCTGAGCAGTTTGTTTTATCTCAGCAGCAGCAGTAGAAAGCTACTGAAGATCTTTAAATGACCAGTGAAATGACCATGGAGAGCCTCTTGGAACTTTGTCATTGATACCTTGAATGTTAATTTCTAATTTCTGTGACTCAGAAAAGTGGTCTTTAGCTTTTAATGGTTGCAGGGATTAGTGTAGGGAAACATATTTTAACTGGATTTCTTTATAAGTGCTCATCTTCAAATTTAACAATGTAGTCAAAAAAATCCACCTTTATCCTCATAAACAAGTTATTTTCTACTGAAAGGAGTTGTTCAAGGCACTGGTTGATAAGAAACATTTGGTTAGTTGAGGCTGTGATCTTAACATACAAGTAATATTTATTTCTAAGTTTTGGGAAAATTTTAGGTGGTTACAATACTTACACTGAGGGAGAATTTATTTTATTAGCCTGTTATTCTGTAATAGCATATGTTTTTAGCCCAAACAGCACCTCTTTATTTAAGTATGTGTACAAGTTATAGACGTTTAGAATATATATAGGCTCTTGAGGCACAGCCCCAGGTGGCCCCAAGGTTAAACATACTTGTCACTTGGTGTACATACTGTGTGCTTTCAGAGTAGTTAAATAAATCTTGTTGTTAGAATATTCTCACTTTTAAATAATTTTCTGCCAGATTTTTAGCACAAATCTTACATTTTCCATTCTTACTATACATTACAATATTTTATAGTATTAATTGTTTCAAATATAATCTCAAGTTAAAATAATATTTGAACTGTTTTCCTCTGCAAACTCACAGTGAAATTACTAGCTTTAGTTTTATTAGCTAGGAATCCTTTAAAACTTGATTTCAACAGCTTTAGAAGACAGCTTAATTAGATAGTTCTAGTCGTTTAACATGATTTTTGCTTCAACATTTTCCCCTTTATTAATGCAGTTGAATGCTTTCTAAAAATATTTGTTTTACTTGGGTGTTGATTGAAAAATTTAACCCATGTCCTCACTAGCAAGAATAGACACATAATTTTCAATTCTGGTTCTACTTAGTCTTAACTAAAGAGCACTGCTCCATTATATAGAGAAATTAAGGAATCTGCAAATTATCTATCCTTGTTTTCTTATTTGAGGCCAGGTGACAACATTCTCTTCATGTGTAAGTCACAAAATCTGCTTTCTTGAGAAGATAATAATTTAACAATAAAGTGTTTTTTAAATTTTTGATTGGAAAGAAGTCATAATGAAGTTGTAAAATTCACTGAATGTATGAGAAATCATTTATCAGACATGTGTTTTGCATTGCACAAGAGCTGCATATGAGACTGTGATAATTTGCACTTCACTTCTTAAATGTTTAGAAATTGTAGTCTAAAACATCACCAAGGAAATTAGGTTGATTATCAAGACATAAGCCTAAAGAAAGAAATAGCATGTTTCAGAGAGTTCTCTTGGTTTAAATTTCTTGACTAAATAACGAATTCCAGCAGTCAGGCTTTTAGAACAAGGTAGGAGGAAAAAATCAGGAAATCATGCTAAACTCCTTTGAAAAGGCATAAGCCATCAAACCAGCATAGGAAATTGTACAAGTTGGACTTTATTACCTTAAAACTACCTAATTTCTGTTTTCCATTTCTGTAGTACCTTTATATTACCAACGAATGGGTCATTTTTCTTCTTCATCCAGAAATCTTCAAATAAGACATTGAAAATAATTTGATGATCAAATAAGACAAATCGGTCTCCTTTCAAAAGATAGATGTAAATTGTCCAAAAACAGAGGATCCATTGTTGTAGCTTAAATATTTATAAGATGAAATTTGTATTTGATTTATTGAAAGAATTAATATGTGATCATTCTTATTATCACAGGGTTCTTCACATTAAATATGATCCAAATCCCTTTTCCTTTAATGTTATGTCAGGTTCTATCCCCTGTAGAGAAAAGAAAAGTAAAAATATATAAGAATTATTTTCTCTAAATCTGTATTCTGTTCAATCATTGTAAAATCCAGGTCTTTTAAGTTTACTTTCTTCTTTTCCCAACTATCATGAAGAAGTTTTGGAGACTATAGCAAATTTGTTTCAATTTAATGCTCTATTGACTACAAAATATATAGAATTCTAAAACTGTATGATTCTGAGTTGAAAGTAGGATATAGAAGTATTATGTAAACTTTACTAATGGTTATTCTGTCAGCAGGAAGATTTGTTATCTAGATTTTAGGTAATTTTATGAACTTATTGATATTGATATTGTTGGCTCTTGTTGAGGATCACATGACTAGTAAGTGTCAGAGATAGAATTTGAACTCAGGTCTTCCTAATTCCAGGCCCAGTGCTCTGTCCAGTGCACAACCAGCTGGCAAGTAACTAAAGGTGGGAAACCTGCTCAGTAGGGTTTTATTGTAACAAAAAAAAAAAAAAAAAAAAATAGTAGGTTTCTTCTTGCAGAGGAAGCAACTGTTTCCCTAGGATAATATGAGAATTACCAACAGGCACATCTCCTCAAAATACCTCAGTTGGTCTGCCACAAGGCCTAAAATTCCCACAATTGTAGAAATTTCTTTGGGTTAAGGCATGATTTTCAAATGTGAAAATTAAATGTTTCCTCAGAGAGGTATCACATTAACCCACTGACACTGTTTAAGTATCTTTGCACAATTACCTAGCAGAAACTATAGGAATAGAACAATAAATAGAATAAAAGGCAAGTTCTGATAGAGCAGTGTTCTCCAAAGTAGGGGGCCCCCACCCCAGGGGTTGAGTGATCAACCACTAGAAAGGTAGATGTTCCACCCTCCCTGTTGTAGCATGTTGTGGAGTTTATCTCTAGCATTACCACATCTACCTTTATCCCCAACACTTCCTCTTTCCCCCTTCAGGTAGCTGCTTTGCAAGCTCCCAAGCTCCTCCAGCCTCTATTGGCCATCAGATGCAATTAGGAAATGCTTTCCACCAGCCTCCACGCTGCAGATCACCTGGCATCTTGAGCAGGAACCTCTTATGGGTTGGGAGCTAGTGACTGTCAAGAGCCCTACCTCCCTGTTGTCTTTTTTGGTGGGACAAATTGAGTTGCATAACATGAGTGGGGGCAAATTGATTGTGACCTTGTTGTCAACTTCAGCTTCTCCTCATTCTCACTCACCCCACATGCATAAATCCATCTTTCCAGATTATTTCAGTTCTCCCTTCATATATTCCATATTTTTCTCTCTACCAACACAGCCCAGTTCATGCTCTCATTACCTCTCATCTGAATTATTGAATTATCATCCTATGGTCTTCCTGCTTTGACTCTTCCCACTCCAATCCATCCTTCATGTATTGGCCAAATTGATTTCCCTAAAATTCAGGTCTAACCATGTCACTCATTCTCTTGCTTAGTAAAAGGAAGGAAACAAGCATTTACTAAGTAACTATAATAAGGTGCCAGGCATTGTGCTAACTTCTTTACAAATATCACATTTTATCTTCACAACAACATAGGGAATTGTAAGTGCTATTATTATCCCAATTTTACACATGAGGAAACCAAGGCAGATAGGTTAAGTGACTTATCAAAGATCACAGAACTAGGAAGTATCTGAAGCAAGATTTGAAACCAAACCTTCATGATTCTAGATCTGGCCCGCTGTCTCCTACAGGTACTAACTGCCTCTGTGAAAAAGCTAGTGAAACCTTATTACCGCTAGAAAATTTTATTTCAACTTTTTCTGCCCTTTTTAAGTTTCCCTTTTTTTGCTTAAGTTCTATAATGTGCATCATCATTAGGTAGTAGTACACATATAAAATTTATACATGTGGGGGTATGTGCTCATTTTTTACGTTATCTCATTTTTAATAAGTGTTTTCTTTTATCTGTTAGTTTAAATCTACGTCAAATAAGAATGTATCTGTGGTAGGATGGATGGTGATGATGGCTGATGACCCTGAACACCCAGATCTCTTCTTGCTGACAGACTCTGAGAAAGGTAATTGAAGCCAGGGTCCTGCTTATTTAACTTTCCACCTCTCACTCTGTAATGGTAGGCATGTCCTGAACCGCTCTGCTCTGCTCTGCTTTGCCCTGCGCTGCGCTGCCCTGCCCTGCCCTGCCCTCCCCTCTCACTTGGTAACTTCATCAGTTTCCATAGGCAAGATCATCTCCCAAGTAGATGACTCTCAGCTCTGTGTATCCAGCCATCATCTCTTTCCTGAAGTCCAGTCCTGCATCTCCAACTGGTTTTTAGCCATTTTAAACTGAATATTCCATCAATATTTTAAACTTAAAACTCACTATCTTTTCCCCAAAACCCATCCCTCTTTCAAATTTATCTGTTTCTGTCAAGGACACCACAATCTAGTTCAAGTACCAGGATCACAACCTTAGTGTCATCCTGTCTCCCTCAATTCCTTATTCTCCTTCAATGCACACATCCATTCATTTGTCAGATCTTGTCATTTCTACGTCCAGAATCCATCTGTCTCTTTCTCTCCACTACTGGAGCTTCCACCATAGCTAAAGCCCCCATCACCCCTAATGTGACCTATTGCATACTTTTCAATTGGTCACTCCACCTCATATCTCTCCCCATTCTTGTTTATCCTCCATTCAGCTGTTGAAATAATTATACATAAGCACAGATCTGACCATGTCCCTGCCCTACTCAGTAAACTCCAGTGACTCCTTATTATCTCTGAGAGCATAGAGAAGCATCTCTATTTGGCTTTGAAGGCCATTCAGAACCTGGCCCGAATCTTTCCAGCCTTATTAGCCATCACTGCCCTTCACACCCTCTACAGCCCATTCAGTCTGGCCTTCTTGCTGTTCCTCCATCACTCATCTCCGTACCTGCCTGTGAGAATCCTTAAAGACTCAGCTCAAGCACTGCCTTTTCTAATGCCCTCTCCTGTTGCATCCCCTTATTTATTCTGCGTGAACTTTTACATGCATTTGTTGTCTCCTAACCCAAGAGAATGTAAGCTCCCTGAAGAAAAGAATTCTGACTTTTGTCTTTGTATGCCCCATTGCCTGGATCTTAGTAAGCACTTAACCAGTGCTGATCAATTGCTTAATCATTTGAGGGTTACTCACTTTGGAGAAAATATAACATGACAGAAATAAGCATTGGTGGCAAACTGACCTTTGGTATTGGCAGCACCTACATTTTTTATTTATCTCTGCCTAATCATTTTTCACTTGGCTTTTTTGTTTTTTCTTCTAAATATAGGAAACTCATACAAGTTTCAAGCTGGTAATAGAATGAATGCAATGCTGTGGTTTAAACATTTGAGTGCAGCCTGCCAAAGCAACAGACAGCAGGTGAGTTGATAACTTTTTTAGACTATCATTAGAGTACTGTTTAACTTGAGAATTTTATTTAAAAGTGATTGAGAGACGGGGGGGAGGGGAGGGTCGAGTCAAGATGGCGGAGTGAAAGCAGTGACTTGCTTGAGCTCTCCCCCAATCCCCTCCATATACCTATAAAAAATGGCTCTAAACAAATTCTAAAGCAGCAGAACCCACAAAAAGACAGAGGGAAGCAAATTTCCAGCCCAAGACAGCCTGGATGGTTGATCAGAAAGGTATATCACACCGGGCTGGGAGAGGAGCACAGTTCAGCATGCACACACAGGCTACAGCTAACGTGGAGCAGGCCTCAGAGGACTGAATCACAGGCAGCTGTGGTGGTTTCCAGACTTCTCAATCCACAAACGCCAAAGACAACTTAGAAGGTCAGTGGGAAAAGTCTGTTTCTGCCGTGAGAGAGAAGCTAGGTCTCAGCCCCAGTTTCCCAGCGTGGCCCAGGGCAACAGCTGCCTCCTGAGCTTATGGCCCACAGACTGAGGGGGAATTGGGTGGCTGATCAGCAGGGTATTGCAGGGATCTCTTTGCCAGTGTTGAGGCAGGAATCTCTTGCTTTGCCGGTGCTTATATCTGGGTCACAGTTCTGAGGGGCGGTCCTGGGACGAGGAGGATCGCTGGCATGGTGGAGCTTGAAGTGGCAGTGGAGAGGAAATTCTCCTCACAGTTCCGAGACAGAAAAGAGTGCTTGTGGTCACTCATAGACCAGAGCACAGGCCAGGAAAGGAGTAAACACCTCACCCTTTATCATACCACCTTGGAAGAACTGAAAATTTACAGGTCCCTAGAAGTATCTCTGAAAACAGCTGTACAAACCCCCGAAGCTTGAGACAGTATATTCTCCACATTGGAAGCAGACCTCTACCTTAATAAGGAGTTTATAACTCAAGTTATGAACTGGGATCATGAGCAAACCTCTCAAGAAGTGTCGGACCATAGAATCTTTTTTTGGTAACAAAGATGATCAAAACATACAACCAGAAGAAGACACCAGAGTCAAAGCTTCTACATCCAAAGCCTCCAAGAAAAATATGAATCAGTCCCAGGCCTTGGAAGAGCTCAAAAAGGATTTTGAGAAGCAAGTAAGAAAAGTAGAGGGAAAACTGGGAAGAGAAATGAGAGTGATGTAAGAAAATCATGAAAGACAAGTCAACAGCTTGCTAAAGGGGACCCAAAAAGATGCTGAAGAAAATAACACCTTAAAAAATAGCCTAACCCAAATGGCAAAAGAGGCCCAAAAAGCCAATGAGGAGAAGAATGCCTTCAAAAGCAAAATTGGACAAATGGAAAAGGAAGTCCAAAAGCTCACTGAAGAAAATACTTCCTTAGAAATTAGAATGGAATAATTGGAAGCTAGTCTTTATGAGAATCAGGACACTGTAAAACAAAACCAAAAGAATGAAAAATTAGAAAACAATGTGAAATATCTCATTAGAAAAACAGCTGACCTGGAAAATAGATCCAGGAGAGATAATTTAAAAATTACTTGACTATCTGAAAGCCATGATCAAAAAAAGAGACTAGACATCATCTATCAAGAAATTATCAAGGAAAACTGCCCCGATATTTTAGAACCAGAGGGCAAAATAGAAATTGAAAGAATCCACCGATCTCCTCCTGAAAGAGATCCCCAAAGGAAAACTCCTAGGAATATTGTAGCCAAATTCCAGAGTTCTCAGGTCAAGGAGAAAATATTACAATCAACCAGAAAGAAGCAATTCAAATATTGTGGGAACACAATCAGGAGAACACAAGATTTAGCAGCTTCTACATTGAGGGACCGGAGGGAATGGAATATAATATTCTGGAGGAAAAAAGGAGATAGGAATACAACCAAGAATCACCTACCCAGCAAAATTGAGTATAATCCTTCAGGGATAAAAATGATCATTCAGTGATTCTTGATGAAAAGACCAGACCTAAATAGAAAATTTGACTTTCAAATACAAGACTCAAGTGGAACGTGAAGAGGTAAACAGGAAAGAGAAATCATAAGAGACTTATTAAGGTTGAACGGTTTACATTCCTGCATGGAAAAATGATATTTATAACTCATGAGACCTTTGTCAGTATCGGGGTAGTTGGAGGGAAAAAATTATATGTGTGTATACATATATATATATATATATTGAGAGAGAGAGAGATTAGAGAGATAGATAGATGGCACAGGGTGGGTTGAAGATGATGGGGTTATATCTAGAGAATAAAATTAAGGGGTGAGAGAGGATTATACTAGGAGAAGGAGAAAGGAAGAGGTAGAACAGGGTAAATTATTTCACACACAAAAAAAAACAAAAGAAAAGGCTCTATAGTGGAGGGGAAACGGGAAGGTGAGAGGGAATGAGTGAATCTTATTCTCATAGGATTTGGCTTAAAGAGGGAATAACATACACACTCAATTGGGTATGGAAATCTGTCTTACCCTACAGGAAAATAGGGAGAGAAGGGGACAAGAGAGCAGGGGAATGATAGAGAGGAGGGCAGATTGGGAAAGGGGGTAATCAGAAGCAAATACTTCTGAGAAGGGACAGGGTCAAAAGAAAGAATAGAATAAATGGTGGGGCAGGATAGGATTAAGAGAAATAGTATTAGTTTTTCACAACATGAGTACTATGGAAGTGTTTTGCATAACTGCACATGTATAACCTATATTGAGTTGATTGCCTTTTCAATGAGGTGGGTGGGGAGGGAAGAAGGGAGAAAATTTGGAACCCAAAGTTTTAAAAACACATGTTTAAAAAAAAATGTTTTCACATGCAACTGGGAAATAAGAAATACAGGAAATGGGGTACAGAAATCCATCCTGCCCTACAGGAAAATAGAAGGGGAAGGGGATAAGAGAAGGCGGGGAGAGAGATAGAAGGGAGGGCAGACTAGTGGAAGGGATATTCAGAATGCATTCCATCTTGGGGGGGAGAAGGGCAAAATGGGGTGAAAATTTGGAACTCAAAATCTTGTGGAAGTAAATGTTAAAAACTAAATACATAAATTTTTTAAAAATTCAGTCTAATAGAATACAGATCAGACAAGATCTCATTTCAACAAAATTTGTCTTCCACAATAAGATCTGTGTATCCGTTGTCTGCCTTTGGAAAATAAAACCATAAAGAGAAAAAAATAAATAAATAGAAGTGATTGAGAAAATATAAGAGGCCTTCTCCTGAATATGAACAGGTAGCATTGTTTTCATTATTTTTCCTGCACTGGCAGTAGGATAAACTCCCTTGAAAGATTTTTCCATCTATAATTTCTGTAATTTTGAAATTGTTAAGAAAGGGACTGTGTGCTTTCAGCAAGAAACTCACTTTTCGCAGTTAGCTTTGACTGCATATATTTAAGAATCTTCCATTGTTTTCACTTGAAATCTAAACACTCCTGGCAGCACATAGAATTTGAGATTGCTGAACATATCCAGTGACACTGAAGAGATACTTGATCTATAGAATTGGCTCAAATGGAAAAATCAAGCACTTTGTAGAGCTTGTTGAGAATTGTTGATATATGATCAGGCGTTATGATTAGACATACTTTTTTGTAACAAAGAACAGAAGATTAATTAACGAATGAAAATAGTTTGTTTTGATCTGTTTTCACTTAATCTGATTCAGGTTGCTTCCCCCAAAGAACCCCTACAGCTGTTGAAATCATAGCATAATTTGAATTTGGTTTACAGAAACAGCTGTACCACCAATATAATTTTTAATTGTGACCTTCAAATACTGAGATTGTAGTGGTGACTTTTCATGTTGAGGACCCCTGTTCCTTAACGCTGAGTTATAATAGGGCCCAAAGTGGTAAAGCAAACATGATGTAAACATCTTGCCTTATCTCAGAATCTTACAAGAAACCCTTAAGCTTCTATAGAACATTGGAAAAAAAGCAGAACCTGCTGACCCAGGAGCTTGGTACTTGACAACAATGTTTGTGTTTTTTTGGTTTATGTATTTTTAGGAATTCATAAACTTTACATACTTTAGGAAAGGCCTGGCCTTTTGGGAAAGGCTATGGTTGCAGTGGGAGGCCAGAACAGAAATCCTCTCCACTGAGGCAGGTCAGCAGGTCCTCTCCAACGTAGTCTCAGATAGTTACCTAGGGCACTAACACACTGCCCAGCTGGAATGTGTCAAAGGCAGGCGGTCTTGAACCGTGATCTTCCCATCTCCAGAGCTGGAAGACATCACACTACCAGTAATATCTGGGATAGTCCTAAGAGGGTCCAGTCACACTGCCAGGGACCATTTTTGGCAGTCTGTCTTTTAGAGAGACACTTAGTGTTAAATAGACCATAAACCTGTAATGAGTTCAAAAAGCCAAAAATGTAGGGATATAGTAGGAAGTAGTTGGTGCTTAGCAGTAAATGAAATGAAGGGGATAAATTTCATTTGATTTGCTTCATGACTCAAAGGTAGGCAGTTTAGCACAGCAGTTAGACACAAGAATCAGCCAAGAGCATCACCCCAGAGGAGTCAAAGGATTTAGGGTCTTGCTTCAAGGAACTTTGGGTGTCAAAAACAATTTTGCTGTCATGTGCAAAAAGAGAGTGTGCTAATTAAGCTTGATTGTGCTGCCACTGTGGTATCTGTATATGCGTATAAAAAGTACTACTTAGTCTCTGTTCCAGACTCGAAATTGAAAGGACTGGAGAAATGCTTTCCTACCCTCCATATCATCAGGGAGAAGGAGCATGTTTCTTGTAAGATCAGAATAGAAGGAAGGCTTCAAAGACAAAGGAGAAAACTAGGATGTAAAGAGACAAAGGAAATTGTCACCTGGGTCAGGAGGTGGGAAATAAAAGAATAAAACATAAAGAAGAAAGGGCAGAAGAAAGCTCTTCCTTTTCTGTGCTCCATTCTTCTTTAGAATGCAGCTGTGAAGCTTTTTCTTTAGAAAAAAGAGCTGGACCATCTCTGGACGAAGGAACTTATGGCATTCCGAGGAATGATGGTGATGATGATGTC